GTTATGGTTTCGTTTGTCTCACTTGTAGTGGTGCTTCAAGGGCTACGTGAGCAACACAGCCGAGGATAGGAAAAACGTAATCTGACCTCATTTAACTTTTCTCCCGGATCTGACTAACAGCATAGAGCAGAGCATTGCGAATTCACGCCTGACGACTCACACCATAGCACCTTAAATTTTTCATGTGCAATATGGACATCCATCTAGCACGGATAGTTGTATCGCATTTAGATGTCTCTTATTTTTGAAATTTGACATGATTTAAGCTTTGGTCACAACTTTTTTTTCTCCTTTTATTTTGCTATCCGTCACAGGCGCGCATACTCGACGCGCCGGGGGAACGTATCTGCCAGTGCGGATCCGCCTTAGGGCCTAGTTCCTCGAAACAGCCCGTTTTTAAGGAAAACCTTGGTTTTCCTAAAAATGTTGGAGGAAAACTATGGTCACAAGTGAACTCAGCGCTATCAATTGCATTGGGATTAACCATAAAATTCCTAGCGTTTGTTCAGAGGAAGAAAAAGAAGAAAACTCAGTTGCACTCCTATGTTATGCACGACAGACAGCTTTAAGTCCATCTGCGTTTAATTTTTTACGATTCGGAAACCGTCTACTTATTCTGGCAGTAACTATAAAATATTTGGGAAAATTTATTTTTAACGCCTAATTTTGAATTTATTGTAATCCTTGAATTTTTGTCTCATTTCCGATCTACGAGGAGTAAAAACTTCGTCATGGCATTGCAGAGGTGTAAACTATTTGAACGGGGGACCTGCAATCATGCATGTCATTTTTTTAATACCATTTTATCTGTTATAAGTTCTTAATATTTGTTCTAGTTGTTAAATTCCATTTCAGGAGACTCGTAAAAGGATTTCACTCGAAAATAAATTCCTCACATTTTCTCAAGGACACCAAAAGAAATAGAGGGAGAAAAGATACAGTTCCAAGAAAGTTCTGAAAAATGCGATTGTTTTTAGACTGTTTGTTCCCCAACAAGAAACTAAGCTTTTTCCTACCTCTTAGAATCTCTCATGATTCTTTATTTGGATTGAGGAAAAGAATTCGTCACTTGGTTAGCGACTTTACAGCCTTTCCGACGATTTTCAATTAAAACACAATTCGACGTAATTTTTGTACTTAAGGAAGTATCTAAGAAAAGCGCAAACGATGATGTTAACTCGTTTACCTGCACTGGAAAAAAAAGTCTCTTGGATTCGGAGTTCAGACTCTCAAAAAATACTCTCGAATCAATCGGATTTTTGCTTGAACAAATAGGAAATCCGCTTGAATTAAGAGGCTGGGCTTGACTCAAGGAAAACGATTGAATCAAAAGTATTTTTCTTGTTGAATCTTGAGTCTGGATTTTGGATCCAAGATACTTTTTTTCCATCCGAGGGAAAAAATTAAGTAAGACTGAACATTTTGAAATCTCGCCACCGACAGACATCGATTCCAAGTTTGCTACTGCGCATTGCTGACAAGTGAGAAAAACTATGGGTTAAATGGGAACATTCACCCAACAGCGCCATTTTGTGAGGAGAGGTGGGTGAAAAGTTGACCCACTGGACTAAATGACACTATATTTCTACTCCAATTTGCTGACTGTTACTCCCTTTTACTGACAATCACTAGGAATTTCTAACTATCATCAATTTTTCCGGATCTATTTTTAATGCGGAGCAAAGGTGAAATTAAAAATCTGTCTATGATATTATGACATTAACTTACCGCAGAATTGCAGGAACATTTCATGCAGGAGTCTTTCAGTAAAATGAAGGAGAGTGGGTGATGAGACGGTCTTATTCAAAAGTGGTCATTTCCAATCTCCTCCTGTTCTACGTAATACTTTCAGAGTCCATAGAGGATCACCTCTCAAGTCCAAAACACTGACGATTTTTGAAATCAAAAAATTACGGATAGAGGGGAAGGGGGGTCAAAGATAAAACCTCAAACTAGCATAACTCGTGAACGGCTTGTCGTAGAGAGATGGTCTTGGTGTCAAAATTATGAGAAAACCGCCAATTTCAACATGATGATGGCAAAATTGGTCCATTTTGAAAATTTCACCCATTGCTGTCACATTGGCGTAGCTCAAATTTTCAATTTCTTTCATTTTTAGTTGGGGCGATACCTTTTTAGGTCACTCCTCGACGAAATCATTCGTCAAAAATGACAAGATCAGGATAAATGATTAATATGCGACGGATACAGGGGAATCAAAGTTTTCGATCATAAAAAAATTTATGTTCACCTTCAACGGTTCTCTGGGTATAAATAAGAGGAAACAAGAGGAGCTGCTAATAAAAGCGTACCATTTGAGCGTTATAAAAAATTTAAATCCATCCTAGGGAAACAATTTGAAACAGAGTCATGATTTTTTAAAGTTGATGCAGCGAGCGTCAGCTGAGGCTACTGCTGTAACATTCATATGTCTCGATATTTTCTTCTTTTTTAATAATTTTCTTAGAGAATGAGCTAATGGGGTATCGCAATTCGTGGTCGGTTTGGGGGCATGGGTGGTGGTCTTGGGACTCGGAACAAACCAGGTTCTAGTGTACCACACCCATTTTGAAAAATCATATCTCTCCTCCAATTTGTTTTCCGAGGATGAGCTTGTGCTTGTTTTGAAGCTTAAACGGTCTCCTTTCACCAGAAAATATTTTTGTTACTTTTAACTGCGAATCCCTCAACGTTACAGCTAAAAGTGTGAAAATTTGAATTACGGCAACGTGGCAGCAATGGATGCAATTTTCAAAATGGACCAATTTTTAAAACATTGCCTGAAAGCATGTGGTATTTTCTAAATTTTGAGACCAGGATCACCTGTCTACAACAAACCATTGGCGAGATATGCGAGTTTAAATTGTTTACTTTGACTTCCCTCCCCCTCCCCCCGGGATTGTCCAATTTCAAAAATCGACGGTGTTTTGGACTCGAGAAGTAATCCTCTATCAACTCTGAAAATATTTCGAAGATCAGGCCAAGGTTGAAAAAAGGCAAAGCTTTGTTTACAGTCCGCAGAGCCAAAAACGTGAATTCTGACATTGAATGAGCGAAAATACCTGTGTGTGTTTCATGCGCGTCTGTGTTAGTGACTACGCACTCACAGCGGAACGAGTGCGTCTTCATGAGACTGTTATCAGGCAACGCGCCGCGCCGCTCCGTCGCTAAATAGTCACCAGAGACTCTACGCAAAACTAAATTCGTCGATAGTACATAGTTGTGGAAGGAGTACCTTAAAGGGATGGTTGGCCCGGGGGAGGGGGGAGGCTGGTATCTACACCCAGACACCGTTTACCTAGACTTTATAGCAGCTGAACATTATGTTGATATTTTTTTTTTTTTTTTTTTTTTTTTTTTTTTCTTTTTTTAAAATACCCATTTATCGGCAGGTTCTCATGAAACTCGGTGTATCTCAGCATATTGGCCTGAGATATTTGATTTTGACGTTACTTTTAGTCTGAATCAAAATTCAAGATGGCGGAAAAAAGATGGCGGCAATAATTTATTAGGTACCTGTTTTTCGACTGATTTGTATAAAACTTAGTATAACCCTGTATTTTGCCGTAGACAATTTAAATTCGATGTCAAATTCAACCAGAATTGAAATCAAAGATAGTGGGAAAAAAGTGTCGGCTACAATTTTTTAAATTTAAAGATGGCGGCCAAAATTTGAAAACTACTTTTTTATCGGCAGATTTTCATAAAACTCGGTGTATCCTGGTATTTTGATCTGGAAAATTCAAATTTAAAGTTACTTTCAGTCTGAATAAAAATTCAAGATGGTGGAAAAAAATATGGCGGCCTTAATTTTTAAAATACCTGACGATGAGTATTACCTGGTATTTTGACCGAAGTTTGTCGGATTTGGTTTGAAAACTTATACAGCGATAAGAAAGGGTAAAAAAGTAATTGAACGGCTTGAGAGACAAGGCACATAAGTGCAGCTATCGCAAAAATTGACACATAAATGATTCCGACTAAATCAATAAATTAACAGCTGAGAAAATAAGTAGTATTATGTTCGAGGCTTTTGATTGTTTCAATATCTGTTGATGAGCCATTGAGATGAACAACTGTTCCCATTTTTAGATGACTATGAGATACTGTAAAACAATTCAAAGTATGAATAACTGAAAAGTTTTGACGTTGTATAACAGCGAGTAGCTGATTTTGAAAACTTGCAATGATCCTTCAATCTTTAATTCTCCCTCTTACATGAATGATTGATATAAAGTTCAAAATAGTACTTTTCAAAGTATTGAAATGTCAAGTCATTACATATGAAGTAGGTAACTTAGGCCTTCCTAAGCCACACGTTTTTGCCTTTAAGTTAAAATACTTGATTGCAGAGAAGAGTAGGGGTATTGGAGTTAAGAAACCATATTTTTACCAATGATTTCAGCTTCTCCAAAAGGAATGTTCTAGAAAATTTCGTTCGTTTAAGTATTTTCTGAATAATCTTTAATTAATTAGATAGAAGGACTGGTGGCATGGAAGAGGTCTTTATAAGAAACTAGGTACTGAAAATATCTACACTAACTTGCAGATCCCTCACATCCTACATTAGCTTCTTTCCCTAATAGAACAAAGGCTGAATTAAATATTAACTGCAAAGAAAAGTATAATGAACGAATCTTTCCAGTGCATTTCTTGGGAAAACATTGGGGATGCACAGGTTTGGCCTGGGTGCTACTGGACCAAGAGAGGAAGCCGGTTAAACCCGCGTCGACGATGTCGCTCCGCGACCTCTCCCGGTTGCGTGTAGGAAGGGGGTCGGAAAACGTGTCAATGTCGAACACCGTCTCCGAGCGCCGAAAATCGCAGAACTAGGAAAAGGTAGAATTCCTCTCCTACACGCGTTGAAGAGGTCCCGATTTCTCTCCGCGACACGAGTAGAATGCGGATAGGATCCGAGTCTTGTTAACTGGGAATAGTCCCTATACAGTCAAAAGAGTAATATTTTTTCAGGAACAATAATGAGCAACGTAAAAACATACCAGCTATGATATCCTTGAGGACTAGGACCAGAAATTCCATTGCTACCTCCAGTTGATGATTTCAGTCGATTCAATAAAAACCCCTGGAAAGAGTTAACAAAATTAATAATTCAACGAAGAAAATAAATCTCTGCTATGTGAGGACATTGCAAGAGACCCCGGAGAGAGAGGGTGGATGGTCAATAGTTCAACCAACATAACTGCTGAACCCTTATTGATTATTACAAACTGTAAATTGCTGGTAAATGGGGGATAAAAAGGTTCTTAAATTCGCATAACTGAAAAATTAACATAATTCAAATACACCTCAAAATCAGATTACACACTCCCACATAGTGAAAACTGGGATATTAGGAGCTACGAATATCTCAGATTGATTAATTATTAATTAAACAGCTTTACATTTGAAAAAACAAATATCCACTCAAGAGCTTTTAATTTTAAATTTGAGACAGGAAGAATCACCATACACTCGAAGGCGCGTAAAGTCACACTAATCTAAGTGGATATAAAGCATGAACCCGGGGCTTCCATACTTGGATTACCTGTAACTTCCGCTTGACTTCTTCTGATGGGACAGCACTCTGCTCGTGCTTATCTTTTTTCTTCAGGCACTCCAGTCTTTGCCTATCCTCTTCCTCACGCTGCCTCTGCTGTTGTTCTGCATACCACTCCTGAAACAAGGCAACAGCATAGAACTAAATAGTATCTCATAAACACGAAGGTTTTGTAATATATAAATTCTACATTTTGAGGAGAATTCCTGCTACAGACCACAAAATTCTGAAATACATAAACTGAATAATTATTTAAAACCTTGATCGAGAATTGGCACTTGAAAAATTAGCGTTTTCTGAATGGCTTTAGAGTAGGGATCATTTTCCTAAAGCTTGTCGGGGAAAGCATGCTTAATGAATCATAGACTTTTGATTAGATTTCATTAGCTTCTTATATAAAGTCCAGTCAATTTAGCTCTAAATAAGGGTCATCTGGGAAAATCCATATTATAGAAGGTTTTTTTGCGGAAACATGTTGCAAGATGAAACGGCTTCACTTTTTTGGTAGATTTACCGCGAGGGTAAGTCATACTATCCATTTAAATATGTGCTAATTTCCTTTCATCATGAACCCCCCCGCCCTCCCCCTTTAGGTCATGCATGTTGTATAGTTAACAAATGCCAACGGTCGCGCTTGAAGATAATGTTATTATTTTATGCTTTCTTATTCAAATTAAATTTGTCAAACAACAAATCTTCTTTTTTCAAAGTAACTAAGGGGAAACGAATTAATATAAAATATAGAAATAGGAATAAGACAAGCATTTCTTCGTTTATTACCTAAAGCGGTGGAATCGTTTGTTAATACATATGTGTTGAAAAGCATGATGGTCTTGAAGGTTCAATTGTTTTTGATGGATACGAACAAAAAGCGCAACAGATTCTACAAAAAGCGTTGAAAGGTGACGACGTTATAGCTTTAAGAAATGTCCTGCCTTAATTTTTTGTGAGGACACTCCTCTATCCGTGGCCCAGGACTTGCTTCTATTTTTAATGAAAAGAATGAGGCGCGTTTGATTTGCTTGCTATCGAAACACTTTACTACAGGGAGTCAAGTTAAAGTATCTCAAGCAGAGGACGATGCGGATACTCTCATCGCAAATGAAGCTCTCAGTCTGCCGAGAGGAACGAAGAAACAAGTTGTTATCGTTGGTAGAGTACCTATATTGCGAGAGTATGGCCACTGGGCCCCATGGAGAGACTTTTAGGACCCAAAAATGGCGGTGCTTTGTTTTGGTTTTTGTGGATAGGAGGGGGGTCATTGCCATCTTTTGACGGTTTTCACCAACCGCACTTGCTGCCAACCTTACTACATCTAAGATAATTTTTCTCAAAAATTGCACGCGATTAGCCTTAAAAATATGTAAAGAATCGCAATAGTGCATTTGGGTGAATTTCTCGTTACGATAAGCAAAGAAAACTACAATTTGAGTCATTTTGCATCACATTAATTTATGGCGTCTGCCATTTTTGGGTCCTAAGGGCTCCATTCAACCTAAGATGGCTGAGCCAATCAGAGGTGGTAACACCGGTGACCATACTCTCTCAATATAGGTACTCTAATTGTTGGTGAAGACATTGACCTCCTTGTTCTAATGATAGCTTTGACGCCTGCATCAAGCGACGTCCTATTACTCAAACCAGGTAAGGGCAAATATGCAGCCCAAATTTTTAGCTCAAATCAATTGCGAACATCGAATGAAAATTTGAAGAAGAGCATTCTGTTTATCCATGTCGTCAGTGGATGTGATACTACTTCAGCATTTCGTGGCAAGGGCAAAGGCAAATTTATTAAACTGTTGGAAAAATGTGGCGAAGTCTCTTGTATTGCTGAGAAATTTGATGAAACCGACTGCACTCAAGATGAGCTTTGTCAAGCGGGTGAGCAACTTGTTCTTTTGCTGTATGGTGCTGAAAAATCAGTTACTGCTTTGAACAAATGCAGATTTCAATGTTTTAATCGTGCTTTGGCAAGGCAAAAACTGAGGTGAAACTGCAAACGTTGCCTCCAACTTCAGATGCGTGCAAACAACTCTTCTTACGTGTATATTATCAAGTTCAACTCTGGAGAGGAAGAAAACGGAATCCCGAAGAATGGGGATGGAAATCTTCGGAACTCAGGCTTCTCCTTGTGCCTATAGGCACATATATGCTCAACCCGCCTGACCCCCAAGAACTTTTACCAATCATCTCATGTACATGTTCGAAAGGCTGTAGTAACCGCTGCTCTTGTAAGAGAGCTGGTCTACCATGCAGTGACATTTGTCTACATTGTTCCGGCTTGGGATGCAGCAATCAAGCAGAAACACTGATCGAAGAGGAAGCAGAGGATGAATTTAAACTCCCTCTTACTATATTTTGTATTAATTCATTTCCTTTCAGTTACTTTGAAAAAAGAGGATTTGTTGTTTGACAAATTTAATTTGAATAAGAAAGCATAAAATAATAACATTATCTTCAAGCGCGACCGTTGACATTTGTTAACTATACAACATGCATAGCATGACCTAAAGGGGGAGGGGGGGGGGTTCATGATGAAAGGAAATTAGCACATATTTAAATGGATAATATGACTTACCCTCGCGGTAAATCTACCAAAAATGTGAAACCGTTTCATCTTGGACCGCAACAGTTCATGGCGCGGCCAAGCCGAGCCTCACCGCGTAGTAGCCGCCGTTGGTTCGGACCGCATAGCGCTCCGGGGGCGGACCCCCTAGTGAATTCATAAGCATTTTTAGCATGGAAATTTCATGCTCTTTCATTCCGGTGAGAACACTTTTTTGCCTCAGACTCGCTGTTTTTAAGATAATTACAGATTTTGTTGAAAACACGTGATTTCTCGCAACATTTGACTTTCCTAGTCGCAGGAAACTAACGCCATATCTCACGAACCAGAAGTCTCAACTTGATAAATGTATAGTGTTTCTAATAGGAAATTTTATGATCTTTTTAGAAGGTTCGTGACATTTTTCCGTAGGATCGATATTTTTCAAGATAAAAGCTAAAAACCGGTCGCCGGCGGCGTATTTTGGCCCCCCGCCCCCCCTTTTTTCAAGATGGCGGCCTTAGCGGACGGCCGATTTTGGTAAACTTTTGATACGTTGTTCTGGTAGCCTAATGCAACATGTTTCCGCAAAAAAACCTTCTATACATAGATTTCCCCAGAAAAATGCTAGATTGACTGGACCTTTGTTTTGAATCATGCGAATCGTAGTTTTTTCCTCTAAGTACTGTGGAACCCATTTTTTAAAATTCTTAACTTTGCGAGAGTTCTAAACGGGTCTTTCTACACCTGGCACCTAATCATCTTAGGGTATTCGGCGTAACATTATTCTAGACATAGATATTTCTTTAGAAAAAAGAAAGAAGAAAGAGAAAAAGTGTGCGGTGATTCTGATTTTCGACGGGCCGATTGACGCGAAACGAGGGAGAGGGGGGTTTGAGGCGACGTGAAGGGCAACGTGAATGTTCTGTTCAGGGATTGGAAGTCCGCATCAAAAGCTGAAAGTTAATCTATGTTGCGACCGAGGAGGAGACCGAGAAAGTAGAAAGGTGGAGGAGGGGAAGGGGATTGGGAAAGTGTCACGAAACAGGCAGCCTTGCTCCCGTGATCGTGGTCCCCTTGGCTCGGACTCCTACCATCATTTCAAATTTGGCGCTTTGACTCAAGTTCAATGTTCTTATCACACAATGCGCTCTCGATTCACTCCCACCCACAGGGCTGAGAAAATTCATGAAAATTTATAAAATGAAATCTGAGAAAATGCGTTGAAACTTTTAACAGACTCGGAATGCAATTAAGGGGCCAGGCTGTTTATAAAGTACGTAACGCTCAAAGGGAGGAGAGGGATCGAGGAGAAAGTTACGCCATTTAGTTTAGAAAATAGAGAAGAATAGAAGGATAAAGGTGGGGCAGCTTGAGAGAGTCAAAACACAGGATGCCTCCATAGCCGGGTGCCAAAAATCGGCTGAAGGTGTCTTCGAAAGAGGACCCAAAGATCGCTTAGGTTAGACGGGTGGTTCTTACTGACTAAGGGGGAAACGATGGAAAGACTATAGGGTCCATCGTGGGTTGCCGTTCGTTAGTCTATTAATTGCTTCCTTTTTCAAAGCACCAACAGGATCGCTCAATTTTCCCTTTATCTTCCTTGTCTGTCGCTTAGTTAATCGAAATTAATAATCAGCCCACTTATGGCGCAATATCACTGCCGGTCATTGTGACGGATTTGGAACGACTAGTACGCAGGCAACCGATTTACGGAACCCTTCTGCAGCATCTCTTTGCCACGAACCGACCGAGTATATTAAAATACCCAGTCCCGCTTGTACCCCCTCCGCCAAATATAAGCAACGAGCGCTATAAATAACCTCGCGCCTTTCTTTATTTATTAAGAAAAAGGACTCCGATTGCGTCACGACATCGTCGTGGCCTCTGACCGCTGCGCTATGGTCTCGGAGCGCCAAACTGCGGTCAAAAGTCGGAAAACAGGTCAATATCCACGAAAATTGGATGAATGACGTATATTCGATAGCTGAACACGAGTATTCATGCATTTTTTCGAAATTTTCAAATCTAAAAAAGTGGCGACCAAAAAGTCTGATTCTTGTGAATATTTTACATGGGTTTAAACTTAAAAAGTCATGAAAAAGGAACTTATCTGGTAACGATTAAGTCTGGGAGGGACAAGAGGCTGCTTTCCTGGGAAAACCCATGATTTAGCGGGAAATGTCATTGAAACAAATAAGTTCCGTTTGAAGCTTCAAATGTATACTAGAAAAAACTGTTTTAAAATAATAATTGTCAGTGGACGCAGATGCTACCAAAAAAGAAAAAATGAAAGGGAAAGGGAAAGGAAATGAAATGAGGACATAATTACTTATGCAATCAGAGAAAATAAAACAGAAACAGACAAATTTATATGTAATGAAAGTATAAGAAAAAGAACTCGAGTGGGTTGATAGAGATTTGTAAATCGACCTGTACTACCGTTGAGCAGGTTTATAGACCCCTGTGCCATCGATAATCTTCTCAAGAAGTAAAGATGGTCCGTTGCTACTTCAGCAAGTCAAATCGCGGAAGGAGATCCATGGATTGTCTTTTACCGCCACCCGATGGG